AACAAACATAAGTTCTCTACGAAGTATAAGTGCATTTTTATCCACTACATATTAGGTGCTCACCGCGGGACTCGTGAAGAACGCATTGGCGCATGAAAATACAATCATCCATACAGTGGTGGATCCAGAAGATAAAAGTAAAGAAATAGAAGTGCTTACTTACGTTGTAAGTGTTTAGCATAAAGTATAACATTCGCAATGAAATCAGTGTTCAGCCAGCGCAAGGAAATAGAAAGAAAATTGTCATCGAAAATGGCATGATGTATGCTGTTGGTATCTTGCGAACCGTCAACAACAGTCACGGTACGACTTTAATTCTCCACAAAATCGAACCTGCGGTACCAGTTTTGGTACTGAGAACCCAATATAGCTGATTTTATGCAAGCATTCATTTAGGAATACTTTCCTTCAATGTGCATGAAATCATAAATCAGCTGGAGTACCAAGCGTTCACGCTTGAAGCAAAGGTTGCAAAGCTTTATTTCGAGAAGGTACTTCATACATTTCTGTAATGGCACGAAATTCAATAGTTGTGCATAATCACTCTTAGAATGTACCGTTCATGCTGCGTACTGGGTCCCAACAAAATCTCGGCCCCTTCACTCCGTCTATGGATTTGAAGAGTGCACTGCAAGCCAGCGTACTCATTTTTAAACCTGTTCTTTTTTGCAGTGTACAAAGTTTACTGCAGGCTATGTCATTACTTGCGAACCACTCGCAGCAGCTCGATGGGATTAGATGCATGAGTTTTGCACAACCTTACGACACAAATAGTCCGTCTACAAGTGGTGCACGCACGTTGAATGACCAATGCAGAGAGGTGATTATATGAAAGTCTGGATGGCTTATGTTATAGTTTGCATTGAAAACTTGAACTCGTTTACAGATCATCGATCTTTTGAACTGGAAAAGACACCGCTATGGAACGCTTGGCTTATCAGCCGTTCAAATCGCTAAAGTAAGTGATCGTTTGAGAAAAATTATTAGTAAAATAGTTTTTTCTTGGAGCCATTAATAAGTCAGTCCATGTTTAGGCTCTGGAAACCGCAGACTTGGATGTTGTGCAGGACAACCTCCTGTTCCTAATTCGTGAAGGTCGCATATACAACACTTGTGACCGCAATCACTACGCTCTTGCTAAAGAATGATTTAACGACGAAAACATTCTAAACTGTATATTACATGGTTTTTATATTACCATTCTGCTGTATAGATGTATCCCTTATCACAGCGTTATTTAGATATGTATACAGGAATAATAATAATTGCAATAGATGACTAAAATTCGTACATGGATATGCTGATTAAGAATGTCGGCAACGGCATTCATTTGTGTTATAAATTTTGCGATTGATGAGCAGAGCTAGTGAATGTTACAATATGACGCTCAAATACGGGCACACATACACTTCGAGCAGGGCGGGTGTCATAGGCTACTTTTCGTCATCGATCCATAT